TGAAGTAATTTAATGGATAAAAAGTTAAACGGCATGGAAACCAATTAAACCTATTCTAGTTTCAATTTGCTCCATGTTCCGTACGTAGTTAATTTATCCATTAATTGGAAATATATGTTCCAATTTGTCTCTTCCAATGAGAATGTACTTCAGAGAGACGTTGCAGTACGAAAAAGTTTAGAGGCAATTACGGGTATATATGCTTCAGGAATTTAGTTTAACTATTTAAAATCTTTCTCTTTTTCGGATTTTTCTACTGATTTTCTCATTTCAGAACGTAATATGCTTGTAGGAACTATCATACTTTTTATTCGCTAACACTGCTGGACTTGTTGCTTTTTGGTTTTATTTTCTTTTCCAGTACTTATGGATTCACACAAACATCGCATATTGGCACTTCTTAAAACTTTTGTGGCATTTTTGTAGGTCGATCCCACTTCTGATGTGAGAATGTAGTACGTATTTTGCAAATAAAACACTGGATTCCCTTCATAACTCCTTTATTCCGTCGTAGTACTCAGGGTTGCGTAGTAACCCTCATTTTTGACAGCTCTGTTTGACGTTTCAATTGACACATTTGCATTTGATTTAAAATTTTGCGGATTTGATCTGTTTTTGAAGTTTATTTTATATTATTTATTATTTATTCTACAACTGGTTTTGTTTAGAGTGTCCGAACTTAAATTAACAGTAATAATATTGCAAATTTTACAGCGGGCAGTAGAAAAATAAGTTTTTTTTTGTCTGTTAAAGACGTGGTTCTACAAAAATCTCACAGTCTAAAGCCTGTATAAATATTTTGTACGTAATAACACAGCATAATTCCTCTGCTTTATAAGAAAAAACAGCCAAAGGCAACCGTAGTTAGTACATACTCTCATGAATTTTGATGCTGGCACTTATTAAAGTTAATATAGCTTGCCCAAATCCGGGTAAAACTTTTATATAACGCCGGAATGTATACAGTGGAATAATTAGGAGTATAAATTTCAGGTTAAAGTTACGAAATTCAAACGAAAATTAGATGTTTGTTGAAAATTATAACGCGTATAAATTATATATACAGCAATACATTTGTGTGTAATTACATTATTACGCTGTTAATGAAAATATACGATAAAACCTATAATTTTTGAAGCAAATTGGAGAATTTTATTAAATCATTTTCCTCTGGATATAAATACAAATAAAATGGATTTTGAAGTGGAAATCCGTCACATTCATTAAGTACGTTCTATGCCGTTACAAATGAAGTACACTAATTAGTCTTGTGATTGATCGATCAATTCTTTTTAGTTTTACACATATTTTTTGAAACACCCTGTGAGACTTGGCATTATTTACATTTTCTGCTACTCTATGGATTACCATTTCCTAGAATATTTAAAAAAATTATATAATTAAAGACATAAGTTTTTTTCTGTAATGAAACCTGTCATATACGAACTGAAATATTTGTAACAAAAAGAAAAACACACGGCCAATGCACAATTTTCTAGAACATTTTCGTTTCGGTTGACAAAAGAAGGAAATGGAAAAGCTTTTAGTGTTGGAAAATGTACGACTGTTGCTACCGTATTGTTCTAAAACACGTTTAACTGTATTTCCTTCAGGATATAAAATGTTACATACAGTTTTCTTGTATAACACAAAAAATGTGAGAAAGATTTATTTATTTTCAAAAAAATGTAAAATTTACAAAAAATTTACAGCTAATCAAATTTAAATGAGACTTTTTTATGCAAATGACACGATGATAAAGGAACTAACTGACTAAAAAATTTCTTCAACGTTGCTATCGTCTGGAAAAATAGTTTTCCAGGAAATTTACCACGACTGCCAAGTTATAAATCTATCCGAGTTTTACTTCGTTTGCCAGAAATGCGAGATAAGGTTCTTTTTCTTTTATTACTGGACCTATTATGAAACATCTGGAAATGGGGGTCAGACCAAAATACCAGGAAGGAAAATATCCAGTTTCATAGTTCTCTAATTTAAGTAAAAAATGGTTTGGAGAGTTTTGGAAAAGTTCGAAGAAAAACAGTGGAAAAAGAATAAAAAAAAAGTTCAACACAATGCTAGTACAACACAATTTTAGTTCATAGAGTAAAGTAGCTTCTGAGGCTAATCTGGCCTACTTAGTTTACTCGGAATCCAAACCTCAGTCTTCGGCCATATCACTGTTAATAGCCTACCGACTTGGTGAGTATCTAAATCGTCTCATACTCACGCGATATCTATTTTTTTTTAAAATACTTAATTATTTTGTTCAGTATATATACCCAATATACACACACCGGAAAAGTCTAGTGATATTACAATTTTATCCAGTCATCGTCAGTAATTTTATTATTTGCATTTCTGATATAATAAAATTAAAATAAACAAATAGTTTACAGGACGTATTGGAAATAAAAATGCGAAATTTACCGAATTTTTCAAATTTACCTTGATTTTTATTGAACTCAAAAAAATACACACATTTTTTTTTTATTCTAAACTGTGAATTAAAAAAAAAGATAAAAACCATTTTTACTTAATAAAGGGTATAGCCTCCTCTACTGTTCATTACAGCCCTACATCGTCTCTCCATGCTCCTGATCATATTGTCGATCTCTTCTTGAGGTCAGCCTGCCACGCTGCATTCACGGCCCGAACCAGATCCTTACGAGTTTCACGAGGCATACCCATTCTCAAAATTCTTCTTTGGACCGCGTCCCATACGTGCTCGATGGGGTTGAGGTCAGGAGATTGTGCCGGCCAGGGTAAGATGTTTAATTGATGAGCATTGATAAACTCACTTACCACTCTGGCTGTATGAGGCCGTGCATTGTCATGCATGAGAATGAAGTTTATCCCAAAATCATTGGCATATGGTAACACGACAGGCTCAAGAATTAAATCATGATATGTGATTCTTGTTAGAAACCTTTCAAGAAAAACGAGATCGGTTTTTCGGCCTAACTGGACTCCTCTCTAGACCATAACTGTTCCACCTTGATAAGGGTGCACTTCCTGAACATGATCCAACCGAATAAGATTTCCCGGCTCTCTCCATACCCTAAGCCTTCTCGAATCCGGATGAATTCCAAAGCGTGACTCATCCGTGAAGAGAACATTGGCCCATTGTTCATTCGACCACTGAACATGATCTTGAGCCCAGAAATATCGTACCTCTCGATTTCCTCTCGTTAAGGGTTGAGCTCTCCAGGGGCGTCTGCTTCTTAAGTAGACCTCTCTTAATCTATTGCGAACAGTGTCAGGACTAACGGTTACATTATGTGTTTCCTGGAGAATTAAACTAAGCTCTGGTGCTGTAAGAGTCGGTCGGCGTCGAGCATTTAATTGTAAAAAATGATCTTGCTGAGGGGTAGTAATGCGATGTCGCCCTGTGTGCCTTTCAGCAACATCACCACTTTCACGGTAACGTGCACTTAATCGCGATACTACACTTTGCGTTGTATTTAATGCTCTAGCTACGTCGATTTAGCGCCTTCCAGCTTCGAGCATGCCCATGGCCCTTAGCATTTCGTCTCTGTTAAGATGTCTACGCTCCATAATGTCGTTTAATACTAAACAGAGTTATTTGAATGAATTCTGGCCAGTTATCATAAAAACATAGCCAGTACAGGTTAAATTCGAACAATTGATGCTAGGTGCTTTTTATACATTTGACAAAAAATGCACAAACACTTCTGCAAATATCCCAAATTTAGAAATAACTAGTGTGACTACTTCGTTTCAATCGAAGTAGAAAGAATCGGCCTACAAATATGTGATTGTTTATTCAAAACATTTATTTTTAACTTTAATAAAATGATATCCCTAGATTTTTCCGGTGTGTGTATATTAAAATGAAAATTACAGTTAATAAAATGACCATTTTTGTAGTTTAATTTCTTTGATTTAGTAATTTTTTTTAGTATATACAGGGTGAGTCTTACATAAGTGCAAATAGTTATGAAAGATGTTGAAAATCATGCATTTTCTTTCAATTTTTTCTGTATATTTTAGAAAACTTATTTACCGCAAATTTTCCCACGGTATAATTTCTTAATCTCTAATATTATCATCGTTACGGCACTAAAAGGGCTATAAATACAGAAAAAATCCGGTGGCCCGCAATTTTTTTTTAAAATTGTCAAACTTGAATAACTGGCTTATTTTTGACTTATTTAAAAAACGGTAAAGAGAAAATATGATTCTTTTAACAAGATCTACCCACTAGGGAATGCAATCCCGCAAATGCTGGATCCCGTAAATGCGGGATCCCTCTCTGATTCCGCGGGATCAAATTTGCGGGATTTACCGTGCGGGATCGTCACCAGGGGATTCCCCTTACGGCTTGGCCATTAATAATAAGTGAAACAAACAGGTTAGTTGTTAGATTTCTTTCTGGCGCGCGTAAGGGAAGAAAAGCGTTTAACTAGTACTTGTGGACAATTTCGTCAAATAAACTGCCGGACATAATTATCGGGACAAGCAAAATTTTAAATTTAAAGTTGAATATCTCTTGGACTCAAAAATTGTAAATTTTCGGTAAAAAAAAATCTTGACCAAATTTGTACACTATTATAAAACACCCTGTATACGAGAATTCGCTAAATATATTTTCGAAAACCACATAGCATCTTAATCACAATAGATGCGTCTAAAACCTGGTCCAAACCGCATCCCAAAATCGGAGAGAGAGAAGAAGAGCATTTATTGTTTACAATCCCGTAATTTTGCGGATCCGCGGGATTGATTGCTTTAATCCCGCGGGTTTGCGGGATTGAGATTTTGGTGCGGGATTGCATTCCCTACTACCAGCCCTGAAAATATTTGCACTTATTTAAGACTCACCCTGTATATTACAAAATTAATAATTTACTTTGGAAATCTAATTATTTTTTTATTGCTACAAAATAATCAGATAGCTATGCTATAAAAAAAACTCAAAAAGAGCTACAAAAATAACAAAGCATCACACAATTTCAATGTAACAACACCTATCTTACCTTGTCTCGGGCTAAACCTTCTTTACGAGATAGTAAAAGACGGTTGTACCGGTTCCAAATAAAATTACATATCTTCTTTTCTGCCTGAATCTACATAAAATTTCCTCTATTTACTGTTTATTTTCCTTATTTCTTGTTTGTGCAGTGTCTCATAAATGTTTTTGGTGTTTCTTGGTCCCCTACAGATGTTGGCTAATTTTTCATAACTTATGAAACTATGATACTCTCCTTTACATGGAGTGTTTTATCTGAAACAAAGAGATACTTTATATTAGTTTAACTGGCGTGTACCAGCGACTTCGTTCGCGTCGAATTAATCATCTGTAATGGTGATGATAAAGCAAAGCAAGAATTTCCATTAACATACAAACTGGATAAAATTTTCTCACATTTATGTCAGCATGAAAAAAAAACAATATGGCGATATTATTATATAACTTGGTAATATTTGAGGGGTAGTTTCATCTCGTTGGAATTTGACTTTCGAAAAATCCGTTTGCCAAAAATAAGCTTTTTACGTCAAGCAGTTTAAGCAGAATCGTGGTTAAGAAATTACCCAACTTTTTGGAACACCCTGTATTATTTTTTAAAAAATTTCAAAATATGTAAAAAAAAACAAATAAATTATGCTTGTCGAAGCGTTTTCCCGAAAGACTAACCGTTTTTTAAATAACAAATATTGTAATATTTGAGGGGCGTTTTCACCCTCTTGGAATTTGAGATTCGAGAAACCCCTCCATATCGAACCTCTACACCCCACAGTCAATCCGTTTGCCAAAAATCAGCTTTAAACGTCAAGCAGTTTAAGCAGAATCGTGATTACTCCATGGTCATATTTTATGAAACACCCTGTATAAATTTATAAAAAATCTTAAAACATGTAAAACAACAAAATAAAATATAAGTGTTTAAGAGTTTTTCCGAAAAACTCACCGGTTTTTAAATAAAAAAATATTTTAATATTTGAGAGATCGTTTCACCCCCTTAGAATTCGAGTTTCGAAAAATCCCTTCTTATCGAACCTCTACACCCTAAAGTCAATCTGTTTTCCAAAAATCAGCTTTTTACGTCAAGCGCTTTAAGCAGGATCGTGATTAATCAATGACCAGATTTTTCGAAACACCCTGTATACATTTTTAAAAAATCTTAAAATATGTAAAAAAATAAAATAAAATATACGTGTTTAAGCGTTTTTTTGGAAACTCTACAGTTTTTTAAATAAAAAATATTGTAATATTTGAGGGGTGGTTTCACCCTCTTGGAACTGGAATTTCGAAAAATCCCTTCTTATCGAACCTCTACACCCTAGAATCAACCTACATGCCAAAATTGAGCTTCTTACGTTGAGTGGTTTGAGCAGGATCGTGATTAATCAGTATGTCAGTTACTTAAGGATTTTATATATCAGTATAGTTAAAAATAATAATGAACTCCAATACAGATATATTTAAAAATTTATAGCTTAATAAATATACTCGGTGAAGAGAGGTTCTCCAGGACTATTGGCAATTAGAACTATGTGATCAGTGAATCTTAGATGGTTAAGATATTGTACTATTATCTACCATATACTGTCAAAAAATACAAGTTTAAATCTGATATAGAGCCTTTTTTCAATACAAAACACCATCCTGTATATTCTGATTAAATTACCTAAATCTCTTTATCAAAATTCCACAAGACTCGACCTTTTTTAACTCAGTTTCATCAGTTTTGTCAAGACAGAAAAGAAAAAGTGAACAATATCCATCCTCCAACTACTTAGCTGCTCTTCTCTGGACAATTTTCGAGATTTTCTTAAACCCTCGATGAAAAAGAAATAAAACCGGGTAAAGAAGTTACCCTATTTTTTTCTATTCGCTCTTGTGAAAGTTTTAACTTAAATTGAGGTAGAGGAAGTTAGCGTGCGAAAGTTATTTTGTAAAACTGGGAAATTGAGGAAATAGTTTATTTTAGATTTTATTTGGGGTAGATTTAGAATAAAAATATAGTAAAATAATTAAGTAACTTATGCGGTTTAATTTAACAAAATAGTAATAGTTATAATAGGTTCCAGTAATAGTATAATACAGTTTTTTTGCTGTTGTTAAAGTATCACATTTCCTGATAACTATTATCACGCCTTCGGTAGCATTGAACTAAATAAATTTTGTGCTTCTTTTACATTTTAGAACAGCAAAAAATATGACGTTAATTAAAATTTCATCAGTAACCATTCAATAACAATCTATCAAAAAATCAAAAACGAGATTATATTACCACAGAAACGCGTTTTGATTTTTTAGAAAAAATACAAATATATTTTTTCTCTAAAACGGTAGGTATACCTTTTTTGGACTTTAGGATTTAAGAAGATGTTCAAATATTCCTTCATCGACTGCTAGACGATAACCCAGGCAATCATAAAATTCTCTTCTGACATTCGCTAGTTGGTAAACTGAAATTCTATGGCATTCGGCAGAAATAGCATTTTTTAACTCGTCTAGATTTGGGTATTTTTTATCCTTGTATATCCTGTTTTTTAAATGGACCCAGAGAAAGAAATAATTTGGCGAAATATCAGGAGACCTTGCTGGCCAATTTACTGTATGATTTAGGCCAATAACGTTTCCGTTAAAACTATTGTCTAAATATTCCCGAACAGCCAGAGTACTATGTGCCGGGCAGCCATCCATCTGGTACCAAACTTCCTGATATTCCCTAGCGGCATCATGTAAAGCACGTAAAATATGATTTCCGAGTAGTTCTGCATTTAAATTTCGCGTAAGAAATAATGGCCCGATAATATTGTGTCCGAATATCCCTGCCCAAACATTTACTTTCTGTGGATATTGCGTCCTTGTTTCGACAAACCTGTGTTGGTTTTCTTTGTTCCAATATCGATAATTTTGAACATTGGGTTCATTATTTAAGGTAAACGTGCATTCGTCAGTGAAACATATGTTTTTTAAAAATTCCCTATCCGTGTTTGCTCTTTCCATCATATCAAAACAAAACGCCTGCCGCCGTATTTCGTCCCCATCTCGTAGCTCTTGGTGCTTTTCATATTTGAAGGAATAGTATTTATGTCGTTTCAAAATTCGAAACGCTGTAGTGTGATCTATTCCTATTTCATCCTCAAGTTTCCTTGTGCTGATCTTTCCATCGTTCTCTTCCACGCACAATAAAACTTCCAAGTCGGTATCATTTCTTGCATCTTCTCTTTGTTCCTGCCTTGCTTCACATCTGCAGTTATTTATTAGGGTACCTTTGGTCTCAAATCTCTGGATATTCCTTGCGATTGTAGATTTTCCAGGTATCGGTCTATTCGGATACAGAGCAGCAAACATGTCCGACACCTTTTGATAACTATTTCCTTGATAATACCATTTAATCATCAATACTTTTTCTTCGGTAGTGTAATTCATGGCTAATATTTTCGATGTAGGTATGAGTTTTTAATAATAATAATAAAGCACTAAATAGATAAATTTCTGAAATGACAACTTCATTTGACAGTTATCTTTTACCTTGACTGGTGCTCATAAGTAAATACAGGGCCATAAGAAAGGAGAAATATTTAAAAAGAAATCGGCGATAACTCGTAAACGAGCTAATCAAAAATATCTAAAGTTATTCTTTTGAATGTGGGTTTTAGTGCTCTTCAATAAACCTAAATAGAATTATGCTCTAAATTAATTAGGGAAGCCAATAATTGACCCCATTAAAATTTACATGGGATTTCCTATGTCCCGTCCGACGATGCAACACCCATATGGAAATTTGACCATATATAAAACGATATAACTCAAAATGTCATAAATAATAATGTTTTTCCTGTTGCAGAGACAATCCGGAGATTTACTGTATATCTCAGTATTTTTTTTCAAAAGATACGTATATTACTGTGTGGTGTTGACGCTTAATTTAAAAATGTCACTAAGTGTGATTGATTATACTCTGATGTTGGGAGTGGAAAGAAAATATCCTAAATATACTCTCTGATGCTCTTATCACGTCATTCAAACATTATACAGTATCGTTTTTTACTGTAGTATTATCTCTAACATCCTAAAGAAAAAGAATGTTTCTTGTTTTTTATATTATATCAATTCACTACATATTTGTAATTTTTTTCGCTAACCATGTTAGCATCATCAGCAGATGATTATAAACCAAAACGTTTATAATCATCTGCTGATGATGCTAACATGGTTAGCGAAACGCACGTCCAGTGTAAAAGTAAAAGTGTTTTGGTGTATTGTGGTGATTTAGTGTTTTTATTTTGCTATTCTTTATTAAACATATCAATAAAACAAATGCTCATCGTATACCCACTAATTATGTTTTTAAAATATAACGAACATCCAAATTTTATTATCCTTAGTTATTTAAAATAAGGTAATTAAAATAAATCGAATTGAGACACTGCGATATATACAGAGTATTCGAAAAATACCCGGCCAAATTTCAGTAGGCGATTCATCGTCAGAAAATATGAAGAAAAGTTGGTTTCAGAAATGAGTAGTTTTAAAGATACAGGATGTTAAAATTTTATATACCAATCTTGAATTAGTATTGAAGAAAATACCAAATATACAACATTTATTTTATATTAAAAAGAACGTAATATTATGTAACATTTAAATAACATCTGAAAATAACTGAATAAAATATTTGAATATTATACTATGTAGAGATAAATTTAAATGGAGCTCTCAGGAAAACTAATATAATTTTATCTCAGTTTTATTACCTCATTTGTGGAAGAGTTTTATCGATTAAATCTTCTTTAGCTATCGAAATATCATAAATGGCTCTTTGCAAAATTAAATTAGGTTCTTTTTTTTATTCTGCGCAATTCGTAAATATATTTAGAATTTCCATATCAATTCAACAGACAAAAGTAATTAGAAAAAAGCATTTAATGCTACTGCGAATGTATAATTGTGTTTCAGATAGAATCTGTGATAAAAAATGAAATTTTACTTCGGCATAAATGAATTTTAATGTTGTAAAAAGCTTTTGATCAAACTAATAGTGTTTTATAAGCAAACCATATAATTTTAACCATACAATCAATTTAATGTATTAAAGTTTAAAATAAACAGGGTTGTTCACCACATACCACACAGAGTGTTGTAGCTAAACGATGAGATTTTTACAAATTGTAAGTTTGGGGTTCGTTGACTATTAGAGCTACAATTTAAAAATATTTTCACAAGATACAGCGTGTCCCAAATAAATAAAAAACATCAAAGTTGTATTTTTTTAAATGGAACACCCTGTATATTATTACACTTTTAGTTTCTACGATTAAAATAAAGGTAAATTTGATTAAGGTATATTTCACTTAAACCTTACCGTTTTTGAAATATTTTCAATTTTGTAAAGTTGCAGTAAAAATTTTAAGGCTTCATTTCTCCAAGGGTATCAAAGTTTTTAATACTAAATATTTACTGAAGTTTATTTATTGATCAGTTATTGTGTTGCAATAATAAAAATAATACTACCTTATACAGAGTGTCTAAAAATTTATTTTAAATAATTATTAGCTTTAAACGGCAATAACTTGTTTAATTTAAATAGAACATCCTGTATATTTTAGGAGAATCAGATGCACAATTTAATTGCCTATCAAATTGTATTATACTATTTTTTACCTATCTCTTTAAGTTTCGGTAGAAAATGCATTTTCTGGTAATTTAGAACTTATTTATCAATATACCCATGGAATACTGATATTTTAGATTATTTTTAAAGATGTACCAAATTTTTAAAGAGTACAGATACTAATATTATCGATATAATTCGTTTATTTCATTAAAAAATAAAAAAAAACTGTTTAAATATTTGTTAAAGAGGACCAATTAATATGATTCCAGTATTGAAATTACATTAACTGACTGCGTTGATTAATAATAATTGCCCCAAATACTAAAAAACGTTTTCTATGTGTATTAGACAGTGTCGTAAAAACTAACACCTTAAAAATGATAATTCATTTTTTAATAAATGCTTATTTATAACAACAGAGACGTTCATTTTCATAACTTATTATTATATTGATTTCTGATTCAAATCCACATTTATTTAGAATAATTTATTAACGAACACAATTAAGTATGTAATTAATTAGTATTTGGGCGGAAATAATGGTCAATGGTGTTGTATTTAATTAATGGTATACTCTTTTATAAATATTTAAATAATTTTTTTTTGCATACAAATGAGGTAGTAATATTATCGTTTTGCTAAAAATCATTTTGTACATTTGTTGCTGTAAAAACAATCTAAAATGTCAATATTCCATAGGTATATTGATAAATGAGATTTAAATTATAAGAAAATGCATTGTTCACCAAAAACTTGAAGGGATGGGTAAAAAATGGTATAATACAATTTGATAGACAATTAAATTGTGCATCTGATTCTCATAAAATATACAGGGCGTTCCATTTAAATTAAAGAAGTTATTGGCGTTTAAAGCTAGAAATTATTAAAAATCTTTTTTTAGACACTCTGTATGAGGTAGTATTATTTTTATAATTGCAACACAATAACTGGTCAATAAATAAACTTCAGTAAATATTTAGTATTAAAACCTTTGATACCCTTGGAGAAATGAAGCCTTGAAATTTTTACTGCAATTTCACACAGTGTCTCAATTCGGCTTGTTCTAATTAATTTAGTTTAAATAACAAAGAATAATGAAATTTTGGATGTTCGATATAATTTAAAAACATAATTAGTCGGTATATGACTCTCATTATTTTTTGGTATATTCAATGAAGAACAAAACATATATTTCAGTTTTTTTAACTTGTCCACGAATTGTGTAGTATATAAAATATGTAGTTTTAGTATATACTTCATAACAAAGATTGATATAACCATACAAAACGTCGTAGTAGTTGAGTAAATCAGAAAATAAACACCAAGGAAGCTCGCCATATCAATTAAAACGTTGTTTATCATTAGTTAAATTTATACTTAACAAACAATTAACAACACAAAGAAGCTTTGCGTCATAGGTTTGACACACAGAAAACATCGATCTAACAAACATAATCAAAACAGTAAAACATGTTATGAAATTGTGAAAAATATTCAAAAAGCTCAGTAAGGCCTTTAAAATTATTAAAACTACTGAAATATTACCAAAACACTTGTTATAAACTAATAAAAAATATATTAATTTGGTTAAAGTAGAAACAAATAAAGGATTACTATTTGTTTAACTGTTTTGAAGAGATATACAAGTTTTTTAAGAGACTAAAAAGATTAAAAATATATAGAGATTGATAAAATATAAAAAAATACGTTTGAAGCTTAAAAATGAAATAAAAATACACAGAGGGAAGTTCAGTAAGACCTTTGAAGTGATTCAAAATACTGAAGTATTTCCAAAAAACTTGACGCCAATTATTAAAGACAAAAATATTAATTTATTTAACATACAAACAGAAGCTTAAAATGAATTTAAGAGTATTGAAGAGAACAATAAATTTTTTACGAGTATAATACGACTAATATGCATGAAAAAACATAAAAGGAACACGTCTAAAGCCTTAAAATAAAATATAAACACAAAAACTAACTTGTTTTCCTCATCCAAAACTCGAAAGCTTCTTTGTTGACTACCAACTACGCGCTTTCTTACGTTTGAGGTACGTTTAACGCGACATACTACGCAGACTACGCAACTTTGAGGCTCTACGTTAACTGATCGGAGCCAGTAGAGCCGGCGAAGAAGTATAGAAGAGGGGCGGTAACTCACCGCTCTTATTGATCTTTGGGCATAGAGTCGGTCTCTATCACGCCGGCTCCCTCTACGTCTCTCCTGCTCTCTGTTTGTTGTGCTATGCGGGCCAGGATTAACAGCTGCGTTCCGGAGTTTCCTAGAGATTTGAGGTTAGAATACGAGGTAAAGTAAAGAAGTGTGTTCAAAGAACGAAGAGAAGTTGATTTTGAGTGAGAAATAATATACATGTACTGATTTCTTTCGAAGATCGACAACTATGAAACTATGATCCCTTCCCGGACACAAACGGTACATTATGAGACAGGAAATTGTAGAGAGAAACAAGCCCTATAACATAGGATACAACATTTTAATGATCAGTGCTTCCCATAAAATCAATAAAATGAAAAATATACGAAATAATATACACGTACTGATTTCCTTCGAAAATCGACAACTATAAAACTAATGAACCCTTTCCGGACACAAACCCAAAATATTGTTTCTGTCGAGTGCATCCGAGGTAATCACAATAAAAAATTTGTTTAACACAATGTAGGTTGTTTTATTTCATTTAAATTGTTTGTCATACAGTTGGCCAAAATATTTATTACCTTTTCAACTTTGTTGAACGAACTTGGGTTATTATACGTACTACAATATCTTTACAACCGACACCTGTAAAATGCATAAAGCTATAAATTCGGCAGCGGTAATTCCGGAACGTGGTTGTTTTAAGGGCAATGCACTTGCTTAAACTGACGTTGCCGGTCTCGGTCACGGAGCCCGATGCACCTCGTGGAGGCAACCAGTCGTTTTTCGCTCCTTTCAAAACTTTTCCCTCAGCTTTTCCCCATAAATTATACGACCGTCTTGTATGTTTACCGACAAAAAAGGTCAGCCTTTAACCTACATATTGGCCAATTTCGTACCGAACGCAATTAAAAAATAAACATAACAGGGCTGTCTGTGATACCCATTTCTTTTTTTCGGATGAGGCGTTAAGTTCCAAACCCCGTCTTATCCCAAAAAACTGTTTTAGCAAATGTTTCAAGCGCTATTTTACAAAAAAGACGTGTTCGTTGAGTGGAATCATTGTTTTGTATCTCGTTTATCTAGAAATAAAAATTAATATTTATTTTTTATAGGTAAAAACACAAAAACAATTCGGATAAGGCGGGTTTTGTTGCAGTACGATGCATATTGCGGTTTTTGCTACAGCAAGATATTTGCATCCTAACTTAATTCTCTGAAATGGGACATACATATCGAAGCTTTGTCGAAAAAATTGAGCTCTGCCTGTTTTGCATTAAGGTCTGTTTCTAAGGAGCTTAACTTTTCAGTGGCTAGAACTGTTTATTATGCACTTTTTGAGTCGCACCTCAGGTATGCCCTTCCATTCTGGGGTACGTGTTGTGCGACTCAACCGCACCACATTTTCAGGCTCCAGAAGAGAGCTGTCTCGATATTCACTAGGACTAAACAGCAGAACTCATTGCCGGGACTTTTATAGAGAATTAAAAATATTGACTCTTCCTTCCTTATTTATATTTGAATCCGTTTGCCTAATACGTAAACATGTACCAGCTTCTCAAGAAAGGCCATCTCACACTTATCCACTCAGGAACGCGGAGCAAGATCTTTATCTACCTACCCCACGCTCAGAGTTAGTTAAAAGTTCAATATTATACAACTCGAAAAAAATGCACAATCACCTGCCATTTGAAATCAAATCCATAACATCATTTTTATCATTGAACTCTTATTTACTAGACAAGGCTTTCTACGCCGTAAATGAATTATATTTGAATTGAAAATCGAATTTGATTTGAAAACACTGGTCTAATGTTTGCTATTGCTATATTTACTAATGACATCGAAATTAATTTATTTAGAGGTCATTGATATTTTGCTATAAACTGGCTAAATATTTTTGAATATTATTTTAAATTGTTTGTTCTTTGACATTGTAAACATTTATAAATGTTTATTTTAACAATCAGACTGACAATATTATTTACATAATGTTTTGTATTATCTTTTGTTTGTTGGTTTGTGTACCTTTTTTTTTACTTTGTTTGTTAGTTTACCTTTGTCTACAAATTGAAAAAATTTTTTGCCAATTAAGGCATTTATTTATTTATTTATTTATTTATTTATTTATATATTTATATATTTATATATTTATATATTTATATATTTATATATTTATTTATTTATTTATTTATTTATATATTTATATATTTATATATTTATATATTTATATATTTATATATTTATATATTTATATATTTATATATTTATATATTTATATATTTATATTTATTTATATATTTATATATTTATATATTTATATATTTATATATTTATATATTTATATATTTATATATTTATATATTTATATATTTATATATTTATATATTTATATATTTATATATTTATATATTTATATATTTATATATTTATATATTTATATATTTATATATTTATATATTTATATATTTATATATTTATATATTTATATATTTATATATTTATATATTTATATATTTATTTATTTATTTATTTATATATTTATATATTTATATATTTAAACAAAGGAAGTTATCGTGGAAACTATAAAAAAACGAAGAAAGAATTTATTGGGCAAGTCCACAGAAAGATTAGTCATGATACATGACTAAAACATGACTACCCGTAGACACTCAGTGTTTCTGCCTTCCGGCTTCATCAATACGGGAGGAATCAGCAACGATGAACTAGCGATCCTGAAAAAAGAGAAAGAAAAGGAGAAGCAAACGAGGCACAAAGGCGCCATTTGCAGCTGGTCCGGCAGTAGCTTACAATTTGAAGCGTTACTACCGAAACCGCCGCGGAGGCGTTCCAACACACCTCGCCGCTATCACCCTGGCCCAGTGAAAACAATAAACAAAGGAAGTTATCGTGGAAACTATAAAAAAACGAAGGAAAAACTTCGTTTATTGATTTATTGATTTATTGATTTATTGATTTATTGATTTATTGATTTATTGATTTATTGATTTATTGATTTATTGATTTATTGATTTATTGATTTATTGATTTATTGATTTATTGATTTATTGATTTATTGATTTATTGATTTATTGATTTATTGATGTATTGATTTATTGATTTATTGATTTATTGATTTATTGATTTATTGATTTATTGTTTTATTGTTTTATTGGTTTATTGGTTTATTGGTTTATTGGTTTATTGGTTTATTGGTTTATTGGTTTATTGGTTTATTGATTTATTGATTTATCGATTTATCGATTTATCGATTTATCGATTTATCGATTTATCGATTTATCGATTTATCGATTTATCGATTTATCGATTTATCGATTTATCGATTTATCGATTTATCGATTTATCGATTTATCGATTTATCGATTTATCGATTTATCGATTTATCGATTTATCGATTTATCGATTTATCGATTTATCGATTTATCGATTTATCGATTTATCGATTTATTGATTTATCAATTTATCGATTTATTGATTTATTGATTTATTGAAACTTGACCGTTTTTTAAATAAAAAATATTGTAATATTTGAGGGGTTGAATCCCTTCAGAATCAACCTGTATGCCAAAATTGAGCTTCTTACGTTGAGTGGTTTGAGCAGGATCGTGATTAATCAGTGAGTCAGTCACTTAAGGATTTTTTCAAAAAATTACAAATTTTTCATTTCATTTTTCTATAATAGGCTAAAGAATTATTATAGTATAAAATACTGCACCTTAAGAAAAAAATACCGTTTTTAAGTTTATAAAAGCCATATTTCTAGTCACATATTCCCCAGAAAGTATATTCTTGATTGAAGGGTTTACAAGAAAATATTTTGTAAAGAAAAAGAGAAAAACGTACTTCAAAAATGATTAGCAGAAATAAAATATTGCACAATCCATCAAGTATATCTTGACCTATAAAGCTAGGTGGAGTTGCACAGGATTTAACATTAATGCGAACCAGACAGTGGCAGCGGGTATTTTCAATTATTCGGGGGGTTCAGCAAGTATCACGTAATTTATAGACACGCCACTGGAAGCAGGTGAATGTTAAACTCATTTTGCGAAGTTAATCTAGCTCTAGTCTTTTGTCCCGGACACTTTGAACCTGCTGCGAATTTTCAGTTTTCTGTCACTTTTCCCTGAATATTCAACGATAAGAAAAGGCTTTTCGTGCTTGGAAAAAGAAAAGAAAACCCTCTTCTCTGTTTTAAACTAGATTTAATAATGAAATTTTTCTTTGATAGTTTTATTAAAAAGTTAAATATTAATTTAAATAGTTTAAGAAAGATGTGTTTAAGAAAGTCAGATATTATGTCGATTTTGAAAATAGCTACTACTGGTTTTTATTCAAAATATATATTATATATATATATATATATATATATATATATATATATATATATATATATATATATATATATATATATATATATATATATATATTTAGATAGGTATAGGAAACAGTAATATAGTTTGAAAGAGCGTTTATATCTGCTTCGACTTATTTAAAAAAATACATAGTGTTGTATTTGAAATAACGAAGTTTTTATGTAAAATAAATATTTAAAATAAACCAGCAATTTTTTTAGTAAAGTTTATTTCTCGGGCTTCAAAGTCAGCACAAGAATTAACTTTGAAAAGTCATGTACAGGGTGTCGACAAACTTTTTTATTATAGCATGCATATTTAAATATCTCAAAAACCAAAGCATTTAAACATATTAAACCCTTATAATAAATGCCTTATTTTATGCCCAAGAATCCAAAAATGAAATAAAATACTTGGTGTTCCATAAGAAAAAATATAACTTTGGTATGGATCTTAGTTCTGACACACCCTGTACATTTGAAGATAACTTTAAATTATGCATATTGCCTCTCTACATATAATCATAAAAAAATTGATTCTACATCTTTCCCAGC